TTGATTGATTGATTGACTGATTGATTGATTGATTGATTGATTGATTGGTTGATTTTTACACTGATGACCAAAAAAAAAAACTATGAGATAAAGGTCATTCATAAGAAAATGATTACACCGAAATGATAATCATAATAAGAGCAATGATAATAATAATTATAATTGATAAAAACAAAAAATGATAATAATAAAAAATGATAATGATAATAAAATAAAATTACTATATATTTACTAAACTCAAGAAATAATTCGTCTATTGGAATGGTGGATGGAAAAAAAGAATATTGAATGAATGAATGAATGAATGAATGAATGAATGAATGAATGAATGAGCAAATAAATGAACGAACGAATGAATGAAGGAAGAATTAATGGATGAATGAATGAACGAATGAAATTAATGTTGGATGAATGAATAAATTAATGAACTGATAAATATATGTATATATATATATATATATATATATATATATATATATATATATATATATATATATATAAATTTACATAGATCAAAGTCAGCGAATGAAGAACTGAACGAATTATAAAAATAAAGGAATGAAAAGAATAAATTAATATTAGGATAGATTGAGCGTGTCAACTGTTAATAATGAATCCAGTTCGTTTGATTGCAGGCAGACCAATGGATCTATGATGACAACCCCTCTGAATAAATTTGCATAAATTTAAATCTCACGAGTACAAATGAGAGCACACTAATTGAATCCAATGAATACTATTTAGATCTGTCAATTATATCTCATGAATATTAATTATAATATGTTAATTAGATCTTATGGGTTTTAATTGTAATATGTTAAAAAGATGACCAACCCATCTGTCGAAGAGTCAATATGTAATCTTTTAGAAGCAGCTGAACGAGTGAATGAAATTGTGAAGAATAATTATTGCATGTTATAATAATTATATTTTTATAAAATTATTCGATAGTTTCAATAATGAATGAATGAATGGAAGGAATGAATTAGTGAATTATTTATTTATTATATAATTTTAAAAATTAACTTTTGCTACAGCTACAAGCACGCAACCGTTCCTTGGAAGGTGGTGGCTTAAGAAATTGTGAAAATGCAAAAACAAGAACCCAACATTACGAGAACGTTTGAAAGAAGGAATGAAAGAGCGGATAAACGAAGAGAAAATGGATGAATGAATGAATGAATGAATGAATGAATGAATGAATGAATGAATGATTGAATGAACGAATGAATGAATGAATGAATGATTAAAACAAATAAAAGAATGAATATCATCGACATGTCATGAACCAACCCCTCATCATATCCATTTGTTCGAACAATACTTTTTTTATTTCATCGACCCAGTCGGCCTTCTCTGCTATGGACGGTGCCATAAAACTCCAGACCTCATTCTTCGACCACAACTCGAACTTCCGTTCGTCACCGCCCCGCGGAGATTCTACTAATGGCCCCACCTCCTCCGTCTGAAAATTCAATATTCAGTGTTTTTTCAGAAATTTATAATTTTAAATTCAATGTTTTACAAAAATTTTTAATTTAAATTAAATATTATTTGCCTCCTAAAAGAATCTCTAGTGGGACATGCCAATAAAAATACAACAAAATTACTTATGATTATTAATGAGAAAAGCATTCAGCCAATGAGAAACGAACCACGCCTACCTTGAGAGCAGATTTGAATATGTATGAAGGCAGGGTGTTGTTGGAACCGGGTTCCTTCCTCTTACAGAACAGCAGGCACCTATCGTACATGAAGACCTGCCGCTTGTGGTAGGTCTGTTTCAGGGAGGGCGATCTATCCTTCCTCTTGTCCACTGTGACCTCCAGGGGCCCAACTATCAACAGGCGGCCAAGGTCGGATAGGTTGCCCTTCATGAATATTAATTAGGTGGGAATATTAATTAGGTGGTTACTGATTATTTAGGTCGTCGTTACCATCAACATGATTATTACCGTTAAAATGAATGAATAGACAAACAAACGCATGAATAAATAAACAGAAGGAGAAATGAATGAACAACTGAATAAGCCACTGAATGAACAAAGAGCGAACAAAAGAATGAATGAATGAATTACATTGTATCCAATGATAGACAGCTGATGCATGGAGTTGTTGACGAATCTCAGGACATCCCCAATGGCAACGATAGCCTTCCTAAGGTCACATAACTCCTCCTCCTGAGTTGTCATTCGTATCAATTCCTAGGTACGTTTGTCGTTGTTGCAGTTGTTGTGGGTGTGGTTTTATTTGTTGTGCGTTTGTAGGTGTTGTTGTTGTTGTTGTTGCTGTTGTGAGTGTGTTTGTTGTTGTTTCAAGGGTGTTCATTGTTGTGTTTGTTTTGTTTCAGCTACTTGATTATACTTTCTGTTGACGGGAGCATACTATAAACATTATCATCTTCATCCTAAACGTCGTCGTCATCTTCACCATCATCATCCTCATCGTCGTCGTCGTCCTCATCATCTTCATCACCATCAACCTCACCTTGAGAAGTAGATGGTACTTGGTGATCCGTTGCACGGGCTTCAAGATGTAGGAACTCAATGGCAGGGGATGGTTCAGTTTGGCCTGGCAAGCCTAAATAAATTAACATAAATCAATTATTTATGAGTATAAACTAACTAATTATGAATATCAAATGGCTAAATATGAATTTTCATCATTGCAAAACTAGGAAGCTTCATTAAGTTAGAGTGTATTCCTTAAGCATACCTATTACAGTCTCAATACAAAGTAATGGCAAATCCTATACAAACAATCATTATTATTATTAACATTATTATAATAGTTATTATTATTATTATTATTATTAATATGTTATTCACTCTATTGACATTCCTCAAAGGATTGTACTGTGATTAAATGCTTCGCTGAACAAATAACTTTTTAACTCTCTTCTGAAATCTTTTTATGAAACAATTTGCTTCAATCTTGTTGTAATACCTAACACGGTGTATTTCTTTAGCAATACCTCACACAGTTTGTGTACGTAGTATGCAGTACAACAACTAATACACGAAACGAAATACCTTAAAAAATGGATTGCTGTCTCCGAATTTTTCAATGAGGATTTCTGCTTGGATTTTATTCTGGCAGTATTCGCTGTACAGCTGCAACCTTTCCTTCTGTATATGCGTTTAAATTCACGTTATACTTAATTGATTGTTTGTTTTTTTTTGATTGATTGATTGATTGATCGATTGGTTGATCGATTGATCGATCGATTAATTGATTGATTGGTTAACTAATTGACTGATTGATTTGTTAACTAATTGAATGATTAACTGATTAATTGATCAATCGTCGTAATTAATTGTATAATTAACTTCACGCACGTTGTCGGTGAAGCACCTGCCGACCTCGCTGGGCCGGCTATCACACGCCTCCAGACCTTTCAAGAATATTCTGTCAGGCACATTGCGATGAATGAATGAAAGAATGAATGGATGAATGAACGAATAAATGAATGAATAAACGAATAAATGTATAGGTTAACAGAATAATGAATGAATGAATGAGTGAATGAATGAATGAATGAATGAATGAATGAATGAATGAATAAATGAATGAATGAATGAATGAATGAAT